GTAGGGAATGTTTGACTACTCTTTATTAATAAAGGTAACAGGAGGTCAAGGCTGTATTTGATGAACCATAACTTTGAACATAACAAAAATAAGCTCTGATGACTTGGATGTGGGCTGGCCAAAATATCTGAGGTGCATAATGTCTTCTTTATCGCTGAGCCAGTCATACATAGTCAGCTTTGTGCACCAATTATTATGGCTTCTTCTTGGCATTTTTGTTACATCCAAAGGTCATTTCAGTTTACCATCTAATAAATCCTTTATTTGGGGTTTATTCAGCTTTTGTCTGCAGTGTCATAGTTGCAATTAAGCTATATGACGCACAAGCAGAGGCTAAGCCTTCAGAGCCTGACAGTATTCCCCACTCCTTCTGCTCCTCAAGAAACACCCTGGGAAGACAAAATTTCTATCACCAAATGTCTCTGCAGGTTTTCTGTACTGATTATTCTGAGCAGATGTGGACTGCTGCTTGTTATGCACCCATTACAAAGCACTTCCGAATCCAGTCTCACCAGGTGAGCAGTCTTGGGAAACTTTTTGTGAACAAGGAATGCTCAGTCAAGTTGGCTTCCTACAGGGAGCCGGTAAAACTATGATTGAGATAACCTATACTAACTGTGCAGAATGTTTACTCTAGAAAAGCAAGCAAATCTAACTGTAAAATTCATGCAATATCACTTACATCTCCTGAACATCCTTTTCAAAGAATTGTATAAACATTAACTAACCTACACAGCTCTTCTGAGGGGTAGGTAAGTAGGTGCTATTATCATATTATCAGTTAGGTTTGCCACAAGTTGGTCTAATTTATGTCTTTGGCTGCTTTCCTGGATTCTTGGGCTACACGTAACACAGCACAGTTAGTTGCTAAACAAACAGATGAACATTTACCGCGGCTCCCTCTGAAGGAGATTCAGGGAGAGGTAAAAAGAGCAGGGCTCAGCCAGCACCCTGAGACAGGCTGCGATTATTGCTTATGTTCATCCTGTCCTTTTGGTTTTTTTGCACACCACCTATTCCTGTCCCTGGGCAGGCAGTGGAGGAGGACCTGGTCAGTGGGAGGTTTCCTAGTGACTGGTGACTGCAGTGGTGGCAGGGTTCCATGTAGCTGTCCCCAGAGCATGGGCAAGGCTCTGCCTGAGCCTAGCCAGGAGGGGTTGGCTACCAAATTCCCATGGGAGTCCCTGGGAGCTGAAAGCATTTGACTGCTCCCAGCTCCTGGTATGCTCCGGCTCTGGTCCTGCATGGGGACTGACTGCAGTGTGGCCTTTGGGCCAGGCATGGAGGGTCCCTTCCTCACCTGGAGCCAGAGTTGGGGCCAGGGACCTTGACTTCAGTAGGATTTGAGAAATGCTGCTGGCACACAGACCCTTATTCTAGTCCCAGGGGTGAGAAGGGGGGAGAGGAAACCCCCTTTGAAAGGGTGTTTGTTTTCACTTGAATGTGAAAGAGCTGCACGACGGATGCAGAGCAGTGCATGTTATGAAAAGTGACAGTTTTCTAGGCAATGCTGCCTGCCGCAGGAATTCATTAAAAGGACAAATGAGAGCACGAAGATTTCCATGCTGTCAGCCTCAAGCTCATGACTGCTCTGCCACAGTCCCGGAAAAGGTGCTTTTCCTTACTTGCACTTAATGAATCTGCCCAACTAAACACTCCCGGGGACCAGGATCTTCAGTAAGGAGCAGGAGCAGGCAGCAAACCCCATGACTCACCTGTAAAACATCCATGGAAAATCATATGCTTCCTGCTTTAGCATTTCAGCAACACTCGCCTTGTGATGTTGCGTTTATATCTTGTGCCTGATTAAATGTTTGTTCCCCATGTGGGTTTGTTTTGGGGTTTTTTTTGGTTGTTTTTGAAGGAGAAAACTGGCACCCTCGGCGCGCCGGGCCGCGGAAACGTTATGCAAACTGTTTACGCGCAATTGTCTGTGCCGCGGCGCGGCGGGACCCCGCTGCGGGCAGGTCTGAGCGCCAAGGACTCGTGCTGCGGGAAGGGGCTCTGAAACC